ATATATATATATATATATATATATATATATATATATATATATGTATATATATATATATATATATATATATATATATATATATATATATATATATATATATATATAAATCTGTCGCATAATCCATTTTGAAGATGAATCAATACTTCTTGGTTGCATGGATCACACAAAATATAAAAACAAAGATTCACTCACCCAGACACTGGTCTCATTCAAATCAGCACAAAAATACTGCCAAAATTAAAATGCTTAACAATGCTCTTGTATGGTGACTTTAATTTAAGCCACACCAGTTATGAATTATGTGATATTAAAGATTGTGTAGCAACAACTGCTCGTGAAATTAGCCAACGCTCCGGTGACAATGAATTTTAGAAGATAAAATTTTAGGACCTTTTTGCTTTGCCAAGCAGCAAGCTCATTATTACTAACAATACTAAACGCTACACCTCAATATAAAATCAAATTTTTTTAGTCACACACCAATCGGAGAAACTCACAGGTTTTAGTCGGTCATTAATCCGTAGACTTTAAAAAAAGCACACAAAAAAATTAGTCTAGAGTTTGGCAGACTTATGATTAATTAAATTGCAAATCTTATCACTGTATTCAACGCAAATCTAAAAATTGCATTATATCATAACTTTAAAAATTACGATATATGTTAGGTATGATTATTTTGTTTTACAATTTTTTTTAGTTTTTAAGTTACTAACAATTAAACTTAAGTAAAAATACTTAACATTATAATATCTTGTTAACAAGCCATAGAATTAAAGTTAATAAAAATAAAACAATTAAATAGATTAAATGATAAAATTATTAACAAAGATGAGAAATTGAAGTAAAAAATATCGTTCTCTACATTGTTTGGTACATCAGGCATGAATTTATGTTTAGTAACTCGAGTAAATTCTCCCCCTGGTGTGCTAACTCTGGCTATTCGACTCGTAATTTGTTTTTTCAATGCAGTTTCTTGAGTTATTTTTTTAAATAACAGTTCAAATTAGATCAACATTTGCTTTCAAATTTATCATATATACTGATAGAGAATGATTGATTGAGACTGGCGTGTGTGGATAAGTTACTATTATTGATTCGGTAAAATGACCTAGTTGAGTTAGAGCTGGTGAAACTTGTGAACATTTAAAACAGAAGTGTAAACAGACTTAGTAGAGTTTGGCGTATTTAAAGTATTTTTGAAATTTGCAATTTATATTTGTCAACATTGCTTATTTCTAGCAAAAATAGGCACGCGTTTTGAAATCCTGCTACAATTTGAAAACGTGAGAAACGTTTACCAAAACTAATGGGTTTGATTGAAGCTAAACTAAAACATTCTTAGATAAATTGCTGCCTTGTTAATTGGTGTAACATGCGTCTATACTTTGACGCGAAATCTTTTTAACATGTCAATACACACCAATATCTAAAGAATGAAGAATGAGTCGGTAGGCATATAAGCATCTTTTTAATACAAAGAAAAACAACCTGTTATCTAACGAGTGTGCTGTGGTTGTCAACTACTAGCACATGGATACCAGAAAAGTTTTTTGGAAGCTGAAATAAATTATTTAGTCAGTCATTGCACAGTGGGCCAGAATAGTCTAAAAAATAGCAAAACTATTTAAGAATAGACGTATAATACATTTTTATAGAGGTTTTTAGGGCTATCCTGGCTTAATTTTAAGTTTGGAATGGTCATGACAACACACATCGTCATTTTAGGGGTTATCGAGAGCGGTCACGGGATGTCTTGATGGTTTTTCAATTAAATGGGATATGTTTTATGTCTAAGTATAAATAGTTGAGGTCAGGGAATTCAATCTAAGCATATTTGATCTTAGGAGTGGTTATGACCGCTTAAGTGATCATTTTAGTAGTGGTCTAGGGTGGACCTGGGATAACGCAAAAGATTTTTTAATTAAATGGGACCAGTTGTTTGTCTAATTATAGGTAATTGAGGTCAATAAATTCAAATATGGGTATATTTGGTCTCTGGAAGTGGTCATAATTTTACTGGTGGTCATTTTAGATTAGACTAGATTGTGCTAACATAAGGTTGTGTTAGATTTGCTTACAATCCCAGTAGTGGATAGATGACAGGAGCATATTTTATGTATGAGTTTAAGCATTTAAAATAAGGTTTTGCTTTTACTAGATAACCACAAAATTATTATTTATTAAAATTTTTTATTATCATCAATACTATAAATTTTTATTAATATTAATACAATAAGTTTTTATTATTAGTAGTACAATAAATTTTTGAGATGTTGAGGTAACAAGAAATAAAGGAATTGTTTTACTTACATTTTCTCCACATTAAACAAGTAGGCATCAACTTATTATATCTACGTGTCAGTCATAAAACTGTCTGTATTTTAAAATGACTGGTTGTTAAATTACACAAAAATAACAAGAGGTTTGAAAAGTTTAGCAACACACACATATGCGAGTGTGTGTATGTACATATTTTAAAACTAAGTACTTTGCAAAGACCTTGCGATGTTGATTTGTGTTTAAGGCGGTTTTCAACTCTATGACTTTTTGATTAGAAGTCTGACCACTAAACTCAAAAAATCAGAACTCTGACCACTAAACCTAGGCTAAAATAAAATATAAAATGTTTTATTCAGTAATACATTCAATTTGTAACAAAAGCAAAAAAAAAAAAAAATGTTTATCTAATAATTAGAAATAATTATATCTATATTTATTGAATCTGCAATATATTTTTTTTAAAAGTAATGTTGTTTTTGATTGTACTTAATAACTTATTTAAAAATATTTGGAGCAAAGACTTATCACGTCAATTTCCTTTATCAAAGATGTGGCGTTGACAAAGCACCTGGGTAGAACTGCTTGCAAATTGAAACAAAGATCCATGACTTCCATGAAAATTTTAGTTTTAATGTTTTTTATTTTATATAAAAATAAAATAAATTACCGTTTCTTTTTTTGTAAATCTTTTTTCTACAGATCTTAATGCCGTGTCGAAATATGCAAGTTTACTCTGAATTTTCTGTGAGGGTCAGCAGTAGGTTTGCTTTTGAATTCGTTGCAAACAATTTTTTTCTCTATTTTTAACTCTAAATGATAAATTGACTCGATTGGCTTAATAACAATTTTTTTAGCTCTTAATCATCTATGTTTTTCTTTTCTATTGAGTTAATTTTTTTTTTTCTTTTCTTGACATTGGACATCGATCCTACTTGGCTTGTGATTTATCGGGTTTATAGCTAAAATCAAGGCATAGCGTATCATTATATTCCATCAACGAATATAAGCAGCATAAAAAACGTAAACGTATAATATAAAAAATGCTGTTGTATGCATGCACCACAATACAGCATCTCTTACCACGAAATAAAAAACTACTGGAAACTATATGGACGTAAGTTAAACTGATATCCATTTTTTTTTCGTAAATCCTTTTCTTTTTTTTCTTTTTTTTTTCTTATTTTTTTTGTCTTTCAGATTGCTCCCATTATTGTAATCTTGACGTTGATTTTGTTCAACTATTTGCTCAAGATTGTTTTTTCGAAGTTCGTCATTGAAAGACTTAAGATTGTGAAAATCCGAATAAAAAAAATTGTCATTTACGATTGCTTATTCCATGTTCACACTAGCGATGTTCGGCGGAACATTATTCCGGAACAAATTTTCCTGGAACAAAATGTTACATGTAGCGTTCACATGTAAAATTGGCTTGACGGTACATAAAAGAAAAAACGAGTAAAAAAACGGTAAGTAAAACTCCAATAAAAATTAGTGACAAACAGTTTGGCAAATACACATTGTTAATATAATTTATTAATTTTTAATATTTATTCATTTATGAGAGGTAAAACTAAATGCAAATAACGCTGAGGGTTCAGCTAGCTCAGAGTTAGACAATAGAAACCCACCCAAAATACCCGCCATATAAAAGGTGACGTTGGAATTTTGTTATCCCGTTTCTTGGCTTTTATGGATAGGTCATATCTCCTTTAGTCGCTTTTGACGACACAGAATAGTAGTCCATCAGTGGTATAGTACCGAATAAACATATTATACATTAATAAGTTACCCACGACCAGTTAAAACTAATCTCATTTTGTGTTCATACATATTTAATATTTATTTATTTAGACACATTTGATAATCTCAAGAAAAGTAAGTTTAGTTCAAAACTACTAAATACATAACCATATTACAGCTAAAGCTTTAAATAATAAATATTATTACTACTTTACTTGTCCCTTTCATAACCTTACTAGTCACCTTTCATACTTTACTTGTCACCTATCAAACATAGCGGAACAAGAGAATCGCCCAGCTCTTTACAAATTTATCAAACAGATTTGATTCTAAAATTGCTTTCAAAGAAGAATTCTGCAAAATATAGCTGTCATTATTTTTACCAGGCGATCCAACACTTGTATAAATGAAACGGTATCGACAGTCTACAACGGCAAAAAGTGCAATGGAATACCACCCTTTATAATCATAATAAGAAATTGCTTGATCTTTAGGGGCTGAAATAGGGATGTAGCATCCATCAACAGCTCCGACGCATTGTGGAAAACCAAAAATAGCTTCGAAATCTCTACTATGTTTATTTAAATTTTCCACTGACAATGGAAATTTAACATATATAGGGAGCAAAATGTCATTAACAGCATTAATAAATTCATGAACAATTAAATTTGCTGTTGACTTTCCTATGCCAAAAAGGCTAGACACAACACGATACTCTTCACATGAAGCTAGATAATGTAATGCAACTGCAACATGTTTAACTACTGAAATAGGTTCTCGCATAGTTGTGGTAGTTTTGCCTAAATGTGGATGCAATTCATTAACTAGGAAATTAAATGTGTTACGATTTACTCGAAAATGCTTTTTAAATTCACATTCCTCTATTTGAGTAAAAATCTCATTAAGATGAGATTTAATGAGATTTTTACTCAAATAGAGGAATGTGAATTTAAAAAGCATTTTCGAGTAAATCGTAACACATTTAATTTCCTAGTTAATGAATTACATCCACATTTAGGCAAAACTACCACAACTATCACATTGAGAACTTTTCGGCCTAACCCAAACTTTTCTTTCAATCAGATACCCTTGTTGATAAAACTTAAAAGAAGCTAAATCTAAATATGAAAATGGGTGGGTGATTGATTCATCATTGATTAATGTTCTACTTCTTGATCGAAGTACGGCCAAAACGCTTTCCATGTTTTTCCAATAGCTTTTATCTTTACAGATGTCTCCCTAAAAAGCTATTAAAACTATATAAATATATTAAATAAGTATAATACTTATTATATTACAATTCAAGGGAAATTAAAACACATTTTTAAAAACCATTTTGTTAGAATTGATACAGCATGATCTATTAAGAAAAACAAAAATGAAACATGTAATGCAATTTGTATAAATTAAAAACAAAACACGTTGGCAAAAAACATATCACTATAATTCATATACATGAAATATATATTGCATAGAATTGTAAACAAGGTATACTGATGAAAAAATACTGACTTTTCAACTTTAACATAATGACTAAAAAGGTATCTTGACTAATAGAACACCTTATTTTTTTATTAAAAATTTATAATATTCTATTTGGGCTTTAGACACAACTACTAGGGCTTTAGATGCATTTTCAATTGCATCGCAAATACGCTCTAAAGCAACAACCTCTCTGAATCGTAGCTTTCGTGAATGGATTTGAACATCTAGATTTTTATTTGCTACTTTTAAATATTCAGAAGAAAAATTTGTTTTTTTATTTTTTCTCACCTGTTCAGTTTTTGCTATTTTATTCAAAGTTTTTTCATCATCAGAGTTCCTTCGTTTATTGCAGCCGGATGAAGATTGAGTTGGTTCCTCATCAGGAATAGTGACAATTGATTGCACATCACTTGTATCATCCAAAGCTTCAATGTTTAAAATACTGACAGTCCCCTTGCCATCTTCCATTGTGGCAATCTGTAAATAAAATATACACATTAAAAAAATTACACATTTGAGAAATGATTATAAATCATGTTTCAATCAAAATTTATCTCTTGACATTGAAAGACTTGACTTGAAGTCATTTTACTCCCTTCCTTCCCTAAACAAAAAGGATCTATTTAGACAATAGCATTTTACAAATTGATCTAGCCAATATTAAAAGATCCCTTTTATAATTCAAAAACTTTATATTATATGTTTTTGATCTTTATGTTTTAAGTCTGCCAAATGTTGCAAAACTAAGAACCTCTTAAACCTTATTTTGTAGAAATAGTTAACATGCTTGTTTATATTACTTTAAAAAATATATACCACTTTAAAATATACAACAATAAATTATACTAAACTTACCTGACCATCTTGAAAATCTTGAGTAGAAAAGTTTTGACTTTGAGATAAAAGGTCATTGTCAAGGGAAGCTTCACCACCTATTATTTTGGCAACAATATCGTAAGGCCACCATTTACTAGGAGCTCCTCCCGATGAACCAACTTGAAGTTTTTCTCGTCTATGAAAAATATACATAAATATAAGTAAATATAAGCACATCATTAACACCGTATAACATTAATCAAATAACTTTAAATGGACAAATTATTATTAACGAAATAATTATTAACAAAATTAACGAATTATTAACGAATAATAAAATAACGAACTATTAACAAAATAATTATCAACGAGCTGTAAATCTTCAATACTGAATAAGATTTAAGTAATTTTTAATATAACACTCAGTTACAAACTAAATTGCAATTAGATATTATTACACATGGTTAGTTTTGTATAATACTTTCAGTATTTCAGTAAGGTATCAAACATTAAATGTAGAATATGTACATACCTAAATTGTTTCCTCAAATTACTAATTTTAGATTGAATTTGATATTCAGTTAACGGAGGTACGATATTAAATGTGTTTGAAAATTCAGCTGCCATTTGTTTGTAAATATTTGTGTTTCTTCTGCAGATGTTAATGCTTTGTAATTATCTTTCCATAAATCTAATAATACTCTTGTGTTAGCCATATTCCATACAAATTTATTTAAAGGAGATGTGCAAAGACCAATATTTGTTGTGCTAGCGTCAATACACTCTTTTTCTGAATGCTGAGACATTGTGTAAAATTAAAGTTTTACCTACTAAAAAGGATATGTACATTGAATCTTGCAACAATAACAACAACAACAAAAAGAAGAGAAATAGTTAATAATAAAATTAAAGGTTAAACTTCATAATTGCTATAAATGTTATGGGCTTAAAATAATTTAATAATGTTATGGGCTGACTAAATAATTTAATAAATTGCCAAAAACTGGTAGCCAAGAGAACAGAAACTTTCAGATGCTACTTTTACTTTTTTTTTACTTTTCCATGCAATGTGATAATTATGTTATTTAATAACATTGATTTTTCAACACTATTGTTTATTTTTATTTTTAAATGTCAATAATTGTAGTACATTGTGGCAAAGATATAAGGTACAGTCATATCAATACAGTCAATCAATAATATATATTCTGAATAAAGGTCTTACTTTCACAATTATTCACAAACAGTAAATTAACTAATATTAAGTAAATACAAAATATTTATGAGGAAAATACTCATGGTAATCTTCACATTTTAAATTACCAAGATAAGACAAAGCTAATATAATAAAATATATATGACATATAAATAAAATATATGACAAAGCTCATATATAACAATATATACCAATAATAATATCATTAATAATATTAATATAAATAATAATAACAATGATGATAATAATGATAATAATATTAACAATTGTTATTGTTGTTATTGTTATCATTATTATTACTATTATTATTCTATTATTATAATTATTATAATAATAATAATTATTATTTTTATTATTATTACCACTGTTGGCAAGGCCAATGATAAACAACTCTGCTTATTAGTTCAAAGTTGAATTTTATAAATAAAATTACTATAAGTTTATTAAAAATGCATTAACAGCAATGCTTGCAAAGAATATAATTAAATAAAAACTATTATACTTCTTGTTAATTCAAATTAAAACTGATCTTAATAAGATTAATACTGTCTTTGTAATGTTATATTTTAAGATTAAGTTTTTAAACACATATATATAACTTCTTTTTAAATTAATAATACACTAATAATTAAATTTCTATTCTATTTATACAAATTTTAAATATCGTTAAAAATAACTTGAAATTTGTGATGGTCAAATAATTGTTTTTAAATAATTGCCCACCATCTGGTCTACTCGTGATTGATCCCACACGAGTGGGATCGGAATTTCCTTGGTTGCATGAAATTACCACAAGTTTTTACTCAATGAATAAAGATATGAAATTATATTCGAAGAAATATTTTGAATTCAATAAAATAGGTAAGTAAAATAGGTGAGTAAAAATTTCAAATTTTTTAAATATTCTACTGTTATATATCATTAGAAAGAGGACCAATACAGTATTTTAAAGGTGAAAAAATTATCAAAAACGAACAATTGGTTCAAAAGTTATGACAGTTTAAGTACCGATTTTTTGATATATGGAATTGTTGAAGAAACTGTGGTCAAAATTATGTTTTTCTTCTTAAATTGTCATAACTTTATTAATTCTAATCGAAATACAAATATCTTGGTGTCAAAAGATAGGTATAAGAGTGGGCTACAAATTTTTGTTAAACTCTAACCACCGGGTTTATTGGATGGACAGAGGGGGCATCAAACCATCACCTTACCCACATGAAACTAAACATTTTTTTCACAAAAAAAAGTCTTTTTTCAACACATAAGTATTTTAAATATACAAAAACATTGTTATAAACTTATATTTAACCACCAGAGTATATGAGGCGTATGTTAACGTTGGAGGTGGGTGTGGTGGTGATGGTTTGATACACCCTATATCATATAAGACTTGTTTTCATAAATATTTTTATCTTTACTAAAATGAATTCAATTAGTATACAATATAAAATTATGTTCTACAAGAATTTACGTGGTGTTACTATTACGAATTTAAGTCGTGTTTACATCGATGTATGGGAGGGGAGAATAACCCCCCCTCCCCAACCTAAAAAAAAAAATTAAAAAAAATTAAAATGACACAACTACTGTTTCCTAAAGTCCCAAAACAAAGTTTTTTTCTGTATAAAAAAGGTTCTATAAATTAATACTGGACAACCACCAAACATTGAAGGTAAGTGTAAAACTCATGTTAAATGTGTTGACCATGTTTTAACCACCCTAATATCGCCAAAAAATTTTAATTATGAAATATTTGATTGGTTATTTAAAGAACAACAACAAAGAAGTAAAAAATATATCTTACCCGGTAAAAGTTACATCAGTGTTGCATCCATTCTCAAAAGAGAGGGGCTATCCCCCCCTTTCCCCGAATTAATCATTTTTTTTTTAAAAAGCATTTTTGATTACTTGGAGAATTTTTGGTTAAAATATACTTATACAGAGTGACTTCTATTAACAGTCAATAGTGGTAAAAAGGTAATCAAAACAAGGTATTTACCAACCTTTATAAATCTTCAAATCTTTCATTTGGTGCTTGATACTAGTTTGGTAAACAAAAAGTTAGGCTGTTTCAAACTAAAAACCAAAAAAAATGTTATTAACACTAAATAATGTTTGATTATTTTAATGATGCTTTATTTCATAAAGTTTTCTTGGCTTTTAGTGAATGATTACAATGATAAATTATACTAATGAAATTATTTTATAACCATTTTTAACAACAGACACCACGTGAAGGTAAGCCAGAGTCGCCTATCAAAAATACATAGCAAGTTACAACACTTGCAGTACTTTTGTTTAGCAAGTCACAACACTAGCAGTACTTTTTTTTTTTCAACAAGTCACAGCAGTTTTTTAATCTATAAATTTCAAATTTATATATTTGCAGTGTTTTAACAAAATAATATCTAGTCAACTCTCTGGAAACAATATCTGCAACAAGCTGAAACTTTTTCATGCAATGTTCTACAGCTTTGATATCCATTTTATTAACCAACCTTTAATAATTTTTAAATCTTTCAAATAGCGCTTTGGCTGTTTCAAACTAAAAAACAAATAAAATGTTATTAAAAAGAAATAATAATGGTCTGTTTATTTTTTATCTCATATAGTTTTGTCTTGGCTTTTAATGAATGATTACAATAATAAATTTCGTTTAGCTATTCACAACACTGGTAGTATTTTTCAGCAATTCATTTGTAGTACTTTTTTAGCTTAAATTTCAAACTTGTACTTTCACAGTGTTTTATTAATATAATATAAAATTAATAAAATTGTAACTCTTCTGAAATAACATCTGCAACAAGCTGGATCTTTTTCATGCAATGGTCAACAGCTTCCATATATGTTTCATCATCTTTCCAGTAAGAAATAGTGCAAACTAAGTCATTTTTTCAACTAAATACTTTATCTACTCTGCCATTATACAAAACAGGCTTGGATGTTTAGGATCATATCATTTATGATATTGTTTTTTGCCTACAATTCTTCTATACATGACATCTTCTAAGGGTAATTCCACATCAAATCACCCAAATTTTTCAAGATTTTGAACCATAGGTCTCATATTTTCTTTAAACTTCTTTAGCTGTTGCATTTCATATTGAAAAGTTCACATGCAAAATTTTAGCCAAAAATGTTCAGCCGTTCACAAGATATCAAGGTTTTAATATAGACCTGGTTTCCCAAAATGACCTGGTTTCTGTGTCATTTTAAAAAAACGTTTGCTCTAATAAAATGAAAAATAATGAAAATAAAAATATGAAAATTAGCATTTATAATGCTTTTCTAATTCAGAATTCAAAAAATGCACTTAGAATGCTGAAATATGAGCAGAACATGCTTTAAAATTAAAAACACACCTAATTTATATATTCAAACTTAGGGGTCATATATCTCAAAACACCCCCGTCTAGATTTTTTTTTTTTTGCTTTTAATATTTTTAGCTACTTATTATCTTACTAGGCACAAAAAACCTAACTGGAAAAACAACTAAAACATATAGAACCATAGTTTCCAAGATACACCACTTTTATGGGTGCCCATAGCAATTTTCTAACGAGGGGGAGGGGTGAGGGAACAACAAAATATTTTTAGTGATGTTCTAATTTAGTTCAATTTACCAAGAATACTTAAAAAAAAGCATATTGCAAAAGACATGGTGAAAACAACTTTTTTTTATTACAGTTAGAGGGGAGGAGAATAGTGTTTCAATAACACCTGGCATTGCCATATCTCTGTCATTTAAACCATTTAGCCAATAAAACATATCAAACTACTTTTTATGGACAGTAGTTACTTAGTAGTGATAAGTTGTAGATGAGTTAAAAAATAGAAAGTAAGATTAAATCCACTGAGACTTCATTGTTAACTCTTATCAAGCTCCAATTATCCTACAGCCAAAGATTTGGAAATATCTAATACTATATCATTATTTAATATATTTAAAACTAGAGCTTTTTTTTTTACTAAAAACTAAGTAGGAAAGATCTTTCTTTTTTTGTATCCTTCGAATTGCTTTTTTCTTACTGCAAAAGCATTCAATACACTTCATTGCTAACTAATTAAAAAATTAAAAGGGTATGGCATCACTTAAAAGCTGCTAAAAATCTTCCTAAAGATAGTACATGTGTAGCAAATTATAGAATTCTGTAAAGAATTAATTTTGGTTAATAGACTTTTCATATATTTAAGGAAGTCTTAATTATATGATAACTTAATTATATGAACTTAACAACTGAAAAAACATCCGGTTTTGTTTTTATATAAAAACATTTTATAAAAAATAATTGTTATGTTAATATGATATTTTTTTTAATTTTGACAACTAAAGTTTGTAAAAGTTTATTAAAAATTAGTTTATAAAAGTTTAGTTTATAAAAGTTCAGATATAGAACAACATTTATTGGTAAGATTATATTTAAATTTTAAAAAATTAATAATTTAAATAATATAATTATTTAAAAACTTCTTTTTTTACAACATTTATTAATATTAATAATAATAATATTAAGAACAACATTTATTAAAAATTATATTTATTAAAAAACTTTTTTTACATACAATTAAGTAGAAGAATTTTATTTTTATTTTTAGGAAATACTTTCATACTACAATTTAATTTATCTTATTAAGATGTGTTCTATTGGATTAATGACATCAGATGCTTGCGAAGGCCAACAAGATGTTATTGAAACTTTAAGTAATGAAGAAAAAATAATTATATCTTTACGCTGTAATATTGAATTATCAAACTTAGAAATATTATGTGAAAGACATAATACAAAATATTTGAAAATGTATCCTATATGGCAGAAAGCTTGTTGTGATCCATTCAATAGACATACAAAGAAAATCACAAGTATGTAGCTGTAAAATTTAAATATTTCATTAATTTATGTTTTTCAAAAAATAAACGAAAGTTTTGAACTAATGTGCAGACATACTTTATACAATTCAATTACTTTTAGAAAATCTTGGCGTAGTTACAATAGAAGAGTCACAAGTCATGATGAGAAATTGTTTGAATATTCCTCCTGGGAAGAAACTTTGCAAACCTTGTAAACAAAAGATTGCCAGAAAAAAAGAACTTACAGAAGAGGAGCAAAGTAAGAGTGAACAAGATGAGGATTTTCTAATATCACCATGCAAAAAAATAAGACAGGAGATCAATAAAGAACTCAAAAATTTTAGTTTATCTCCTCTAAAATCTCATTCAAAATCATTAAAACATATACTGTCAGAAGGAAAGCAAAAAGTTGCATGCATCAACGAAATGGCGTATAACGCTACTAGAAAAATTGAAACTCAATTTTCCTCAAAACTATGTTATGAAACCAATGGGACGAAAAAGAAGGCTGCAAACTTTGATGAAATTATGAGCTTGGTAAAAGAAAAAATTCTATGTTCTGACAAACGAACTATTGTTCAACTTCTAACACTGGCACCCCCAAGTTGGTCAATATTAGAAGTACAAAATAACTTTTCGGTTACAGAATACCAGGCCAAGATGGCTAGAAAAATTTTTAATAAAAAAGGATTGTTAGGTATTTCTCCATTGTATAAGGGTAAAGTCTTACATAAAGAAATAGAAGATTCAGTTAAATTGTTTTATGACTCAAGTGATTTATGTCGAACTATGCCTGGAAAAAAAGATTATGTCAGCATTCAAAAGAACGTCCACAAACAAAAAAAACTGCTTTTGTGTAATTTAAAGGAACTATATGTATTATACAAAGAAAACAATCCAGAAATACAAATAAGTTACTCAAAATTTGCTTCACTTAGACCAAAGTGGTGCATTTTGCCAGGTGCAAGTGGTACACATTCTGTTTGTGTTTGTTCTTATCACCAAAATGCCATTTTGCTAGTGGATGCCTTAAATATTGAACTAACGTATAAGGATTTACTTTTGAAAACTGTTTGCTCAGTAGAAAACAAAGAATGCATGCTTGCACAGTGTGATAATTGTCCTGGTAAAGAACTGCTCACCATGTATTTGTATGAGATTTTTGGAGAATACGAAGATGATTTTGAGATACACTACAAACAATGGCAAACTACTGATCGTGCAACACTATTGAGTTTAACAACAGATGTTTCAACGTTTATTGAACTATTGGTATCTTGTTTTGAAAAGCTACAATCTCATTCTTATATTGCCAAATCTCAATCACAATACCTTAATCAACTAAAAGAAAATATGGATCAATCAAACATTATCATTCTTGGCGACTTTGCTGAAAATTATGCTTTTGTAGTCCAAGATGAAATACAGAGCTATCACTGGAACACCCAACAATGTTCTTTACATCCATTAGTGATATACTATAAAGAAGAAAATGGTGTAGTGAAACATATTTCTTACTGTTTTATATCAGACGACATTACACACGATGTAACTTATGTATACAAGATATTTCAACTAATTATACCAATATTAAAAACAAAATTTCTTGATTTATCCAAATTGCATTTATTCACTGATGGTTGTGCAGGACAGTACAAAAATTGTAAAAGCTTTTACAATCTATGCCAACTAGAGACAGAATTTTCCCTCAAAATTGAATGGAACTTTTTTGCCACGTCCCACGGAAAGTCACCATGCGATGGAATTGGTGGTACTGTAAAAAGGTTAACAGCACAAGAAAGTTTAAAACGACCATACAGAAACCAAATTCTCACATCAGAGGCTATGTATGAATTTTGTGTTGAGAATATTAAGGCTGTTAACTTCATTTACATAAAGGGATTGGACTTACAATTGCAACGTGAAAAGCAAAAAGAAAGGTACACTGATGTAACAACTCTACCAGGTACTCGTAGCTTTCATCAATTTATACATCTTGGAGATAATAGGATTGGGGCGAAGAGGTGTAGTACAGACACTAAATATACAATAATTCACAATCTTAAAAAAAAACATATATTTGAACCTGATACTGTCACTTTAGGAGGTTATGTTGCGGTAGTTTATGATGATAAGTGGTGGATCGGCATTGTAACTGAAATCAACCTAGAAGAAGTTGATGCTGAAGTTAAGTTTCTCCACCCAAGAGGTCCATCAATCTATTTTAACTGGCCTGAAAGAGACGACCACTGTTTTATTCCTAACATCAATATATTGAAAAAACTATCTGTTCCACAAGCTTGCTCTAGTTCTGGTAGAAACTATGTGTTTGAAAATGTTGAAATAGAAGAAGTGCAAGTAAAATGGCAACAATATTGTGAACTATTACAAATACAGTCAAAATAACTTGCACATTCGATACCTTTAAAAATCTTGTATATTTAAGTAACTTTGTAAATTAGGAATAATTTATTTTAATTGAATTTATAAATATTTTTTAGGAATTTCTTAAAAAAGTTATACATCTTTAAAATTAAAGTTCTATATGTTTCAGTTTTTTTTCCAGTTAGATTTTTTGTGCCTAGTAAGATTATAACTAGCTTAAAATATTGAAAGCAAAAAAAAAAAAAATTTGACGGGGGTGTTTTGAGATATTGGGCCCTAAAGTTAGGTTATATAAACTAGTTGATTTATTAATTTTTAAGGATGTTCCTCTAACATTTCAGCATTTTAAGTACATTTATTGAATTCAGCATTAAAAAACCATTATAAATGTATATTTTTATATTTTTGCCATTTTTATTTCTTATTTTATTGAGGAAAACAACTTTTCAGAATGTTATGAAAACCGGGTCATTTTGAGAAACCAGGTCCAAATTAAATTTGCTGTATCTTGTCAACCGCTTGACATTTTTAGCTGAAATTTTGCATGCAATATTTTTTTATAAATAGGAATCATGTGTCAAAATATAAAACAAAAAGAAGACACATGGTTCAATGGAGTGGGTGATTTGATGTGGAATTACCCCTAAATTATAAAGTTGGTCATTAGACAAATTTTTGTATGAATCTATTATTTCATCATAACTCAGTTTGGATAGCTAACGCTCTAACTTTTTTTGTTCTAGCTTTTTTCTTTTTCATCGATTTTTTT